AAAACAAAATCAAAAATATGAGAGTGTATATTTGTAAGAGAGCTGCCACACGAAAACAGAGCATCAGGAATTCAGCCGGACATATGAAAAAAGGCCAAAAGTGAGGCACCAGCTAGCCTGCGTCACATCCGGAATTTTCTTTGTAAATAGGCACCAGCACAAGAAAGCAGAAAGCATGTTTCAATGGAATGGATAAAGAATAGAAGAAAAGATTAAAAAAAAAAGCAAAATCAAAAATGTCCAATAAATGATAAATTGATTACTTTTATTAAACTATAAAGTTATTAACAATTTTTAATATCATTTTATTAAATCATAATGAAAAATGCCTCTTTCTTGATTGGATTGATTTATCCAATCAATCTCTATTAACATAGGTAGCCCAACTAACACAATTTGTTAACCCTTTAAAGTAATGAATTAAAATCTAATTTAGTATTGCAAGTTAAAAGCTGATGATACTCTGTGTTATTTACAAGGTCAACAAGGTGTTACAAAGCTTCAAGATTTAAAATTATCTTCGTCCCTTGAGTCCACATGCAATGTTCTTTATTTTTTCTTTCGGGCTTCCTGTGTTCGGAGCGAAGACTGGAATTTCCACAGGGAAACCATCAGAAAAGAAAACGCGTTTCTTTGGTCGACGTTAGAAATCAGCTGTTGGAAACTTTTGCAAAGAGACTTGGTAAAAAACCCAAATTGGTAAGTTGTGGGAAAACTTAGAATTAAGTTTTAAATTAGTCTTACAACATATCTCCTTGTATTGTGATATTTTTCTCTAAAACTGTGAATTTTTTTTAACTTACTTAAACCTGGAAATCATGTTTGAGCGACCTGTTGGACCTTGGAACACTAAGCTAATGCTTCCTACACTTCCAGAAGGTTATATAAGTTTTATATGTGCCCAAGAACTTCATAAGTAAGAAAAAACGTAACTGTAAAATGCATATAAAACAAGTTACTCTATAAAACTTTTACACAATAATTGTCTCTGATAGTTTCATTCTCATTTTGCCATTGCTCTGTAAACTTTTATTCCAACAAACACAGCAAGACTCCCAGCCATGATTCCAAGAGATAAGGCCCCTAATGTTGAATCCAAAAACGAAGTTACAGCTGATGGTAGTCTTTTTCCAGAATTTCCCTCACTGAAAGGTGTATCTACTTGATCAGAACATCCTGCTTCTGGAGATAATGGAGATTTGGGTGTCTTGGGCTTTCCCTAAAAACCAAACTCAAGGTTAGAGTGAATGAAACTTTTTGTACACCTTTTGAGTTAAATTATTAGGCATCTTCATCATAGTACTTCTAAAATACTACTATCTATCCCCCTACATATAATTTTCTTAAATGACAGTTTTAACATCAACCATGTTAACTTTTACTTTTAAGATTTGCATTTAATATACCATTTAAGAATTCACTTGTGAGTGACCATGAAGCAAAGGCTGCAGGTTAAAGATTGCACTTGATGAAATACAGTAAATCTTTGATCCCATCAAGTCTAACCTCAATTTGGAGCCATTGTTTCATGTTCACTCAAGCAAATTTCAGAAGAGTCTATTCACACATATATAATTATGATTCTGGCTTCCCATAGATATTGTAGCTTTGTCCCACAAGCTGAAAATTATAGCTAGAATTTCTCAGAATTTAAAACCCTGATGCCTGGGGGAGGGGGGACTCCTATATATGGAAGGGCGGGGATGCTTGTTGGACATTACGAAAACAACCCCTAAGAGGTACTAGAGTCCTGTGCAGTTGGGTGTGGCAACTAATGATGTTTATCCCTAAAAGGTACCAACTTATTATCTTTAAATGCTAAGTAACAGAAGTCAGACACTGAACCGAAAATAATATATATTAAATGGATTATGGTAATTCAATAGAGCCATTCATATGGAGGAAAATTTAAAATTTTGTACCTAATGTAAGATGCAAACTGATCTACATGTATTTATACTTGAAGTCTGTCTTACTTAAGACTCAAAGATCAGGTATAAATGGTTTGCATCTAATTCGGTCTTTTTAAAAAATAAATAGTCATAGCAAATCTAAAACGTTGTTTGAAAAATATATTACAAACTTTCTACTCCAGAACTGTGAGTCTTTGGGAGGTACGTAAATCAAGTTAAAGTTTCACTAATATTATTCATACTCTTAGCAATAGTGTTCAACAAATATGGGACATATACCTTATGAAATGGTATTCTTTCGTTGACCGCACCCTTATTTACATAGCTTGGTCTTATTTGTTGATACTTCAGGGCTGTCAACCCTCAAGATATTCAAATCTGGAGAATTGATAGGGAAGGGACATGACGTCACAGCGCATCAAAAAGCGCGCAAAAAGACGTCTTTCCCTTGGTAACATTTGATGTGATTGGTTTATTTCTGACTAATCAGATTATCGCTTATATTACAATGGCCTGCTTGCAAGAACAGTTTATGAGGAACGTTTTGATTTTATTAGCGATGTAAAATAACACAAACAACATAAAATAATTGGAATTTTATGGTTATGAAAGTTGAGTCTCACAAGAAATGGTCAGCTTCGGCGATTATCCGGGAGATTTGAGACTCTAATCTGGAGACTGGGAGATACGGTCCAAAATCTGAAGACTCCCGGTTTATCCGGGAGAGTTGACAGCCCTGATACTTATACTGGTCTGAGTGGGCTCCCTGTATGAAGTTGTGCATGAGCACATGTCTTGCAGTATCACTGAAGCAAAGTTTCACTTTACAATTTTAATGCTTTAACTGGATCTCAACTGTCTCATCAGATTAAATACCAATTCACTTACTAATATTCTTTGTTCTGCACCCTTCTCTACTAACATTGTCACCGCAACATCTGACATTCGAAATGCTTTTACAGCATCATCATGGGTGATATTGTCCAACCTTATTTCATTTACCTAAAGTCAAGGATAAAGAATAACATTATTGGTAAGTAATAAAATGTTCATCTAAACTTTTTTTTACTGCATGTAGCTTATAAAGCATACTGTCAGCCATATTTGTGTTAGATTGTGAAATGTTTATAGCTTTGCAATTGGGGAAATGCTGTTGCAATGAGGTTGTAGTGACTCATACAGGTTTAGTATAAATCTTTGTTTAAGTGGTATATTGAAAGTTCAGTGTCCAATACCTAAGATACATAAAAGGACAATGAAATAAGTACTTATTTAGCAGCGTAAAGTTGGTCCAAATGGGGGAAAAATTGTGCTCTTGGTCTTGAAAATGGATCTCCACCTAATAGTCTCATTCTTATTTTCAAGACCTCAAGCACAGTTTTTCCCTATCTGGACCTACTGGCCAGTAAATATTTCTTACTGCAAGTATCCTGTCGCCTCGACTTAGTCTTCCATCCAATCCGGCAGCACTTTTTGCACGAATGTTGGTAACAAAAATGCCTGTGTCACATCCCACATGGGGGTGGTCAATTCCACCTCTGATATTAAAACCAAACCCTGAAATATGAGCATCATTTAAAAGATTAAAATGATCACTTTTTGAAATCAATACTTCGATAATGCTAGAAATAATTATTATGTTGTTAAATTTATTGTTTTAAAAAAATAATAAAGCATAAAATGGTTTAAGAAAAACTAAACAGTAAATGGTGAGATAATGATCTGTAATGAGGGAGCATTCATTTTTAAGGAGGGAATCCAGGGGAGGACCATTTAATTTCTACTCAGTCAAAAAGGGAGGTCATCAAATATGTCATACTACAAAATAAGGGGAGGGACAAGAATTCAACAAATTTCGAGGCAAAGTATTTTATTGAGACAGAAGAAAGAAGATTTTACATTACTATTAATAGGCAAAGGCAAAGGCAATTTATTGTCATTGTGTAAATCAGTTTTATAGGGATTCCTCCGGCCCCAATCCCCCCTCCTGAATGAATGCTCCCTTAATGAATAAAAGCTGATTTACGCAGAGCCATTTTGTTATTATTGTTCAGTTTTTCTCGATTTGATTATTTGATTTGATGAAAAGTAAGTCTTCTAATATCAACGTCCTACCACCTATCGAAAACATGAAATACAATAACGCAAACTATAAAACTTTTTTTCAAATAAATAGGAATTTTCAAGATAAACAAGAAATTGTTTCATGCCGTGACGACTGCTTATAAAAAATTTAATATTTATTAACTTCTTGAATGCGTCATTTTGTTTGAGAGTAAACCGAGGTAACACAAAGAGCTTAGTCTAAATATACCACCCTAACTATGAGATCCCATAAAACATCATAATATATGAATTAGATTTGTTAGATTATTAGTTAATGCCAGGCGATATTCGTACCATGTTCATCACTGTGTAGATAAATCGTCACAAGATCATACTCATTTTCAACCGTCTTTCTCAACTCTTCCCAAACATCATCCCTCGTTTTCTCGGCCCTTTCGACCTGCATAATAAAGAATTTTCATCACTAGAGGTTGCAATGGCGAGAATCAGCTTTCTTTAGGTAAAATGTTTAAGGTATTTTAACTCACTTTTGCGTCGTTGGACATCACTCCAACAGCGAATTTAACTTTAGACATTTTTGGAAAGGCGTTCCTTATTATTGGACGGGTGAGGTTTGGGAATCTGGGACTAGCATTAGAACGAGGCCCAATCTTTTTTGTATGAAAACAAGAAACGCTGCAAACATTCATTAGGAATTATTTTCAACTTTTATTGCAATAATTAATTAATATGTTACGTCTTTTATTACTTTATTATCACACCCTTTAACGATTATTATTTGCACGATAAAGACTTATTTATTTTGAAAAATTTCCGAGCGAAAATTTGAGGAGTTTTTACATTTGGTCGTAAGTTTGGCGTTACTGTGGCAACGTATGTGTTAACTGTTTCTTAATCGATTCTAAAGTAGGTTTTAATGTTTTATACATCGTTGTTGGTCAAGTCTTCTACACATAATAATCTTATTTGACAGCGTTCTTTTATGATTACGCTATACTAGCAAGCTGTTGCATACATATCTTAATTTTGAGCAGTTTAGTCCTTTGCTTGTCTTCTCGTCGTCGTTCCCTCTCCCAACTCGAATCACGAGGTTTTTCTGGCGGGAATACGCTAGAAAGAAACTGTCCTATCGCGCTCTTAACGACAAACTCAGGGGTTGCGCTTATCATTCTAACTGGTTTATTATCTTCAACTGTTCTCTCCGCTTCTTTTTTGTTTTGTTTTACTTTTGCATACATCAGCATAAACTCCCTTATTACATCTTGCTTTCCTTTATCAACGCAGTGATTTTTTTCTCGACTTGTTTCTGGGCTGCTACGAGCTGTGTTACTTCTCTTCTTTGCTCGGCTAGTCGCAGTTAAGCAAGGCCGGTATGTTTTTGAAGACAACGGTTTTATGATTCTCGTTTCCTCTGTTTCGACTTTGTTTGTGCGAACATTCTTGTCTGGACAAAAAGAAAACTTCTTTCCCGAACTAACACCTTTCTTTCGCGTACTTACAGTCTGTGTATACACTAAACCCCTTTTTGGAATACTACTTTGGTAGTAGCTTGTCTGGCTTGCTTCGGAGCGAAAACTTTTCAAACTTTTTATTTCCCAGTCCGATGCAGCACATTCATCCTCTCTAGGACCACGATCGAGTTTTTGACCTGAGTTGAAAGAACTCTTAATAGTTCTTTCAGATAACACAGATATTTTACTGTCCGATTTTGCCATCAAAGATTCAAGATCGAGATCCGAGTTTTCTTCTGCAATCACAGAAAATGTCCCATCATCGTTCGCGACTCTTAAGCCAGTAATAGCCGATTTTATCAGACACACACTATTTCGGCGCTTCTGAATAATTCTTTGTAGAGAAGTTTTAAGTGTAGGGTCAGTCAGGGTCTCAACAAATTCTCTTTCGTCTTGTATTTTCTCTTTCGAGTTATTTCTGGTTATAAGTTTTTCTGCAACTTCGTCGTTGGCTTCTTGAGAGCTTTGGCTTTCACTTCTATTTCTTAGTGGTGTTTTTGTGGTGCTCGGGAAGGCTTGTTTAGGGCCGAGATCCGAACGGAGACTTTGGACTGACGAAGCGCTTGATACTCTTCTCGCTTCTCTGTATTCTTGAGCAGCTTTGTCCTTCGCCGAACTCTCTAACTCGAAGCAAATGGCATCTTCTTCTGTCTCAGTAGAATTGCTCTGAAGATGTCTGCTATAAATATTTTTGTTTTGATTTGCGAGATTCGTCAATGATTCGGTATCTGAACGCCTTGAAAACAAACTTTCAGCATCCCATTTGACGTCTTTTCCCGACAACTCTTCGCTTTGCTTGACTAACCGTTCGGATTCAGCTTCACTGGAAAGTCTTGAAAGAGTTGGCGCCGCAACCCGAATAGTTTCAGGCCAAGATGCTTCGCTTACTGGATAGCAATAACTCGTTATACTTTTTCCTTTGCTGGAATGAAGACGATGTCTAGAGCTTTTCGGGTTTGCTTTATTCTGTTTCACCTGTTCCTTAAGTTCTTTCCTCATCATCTTGATCGACATTTGCATGGCGTCTGCATTATTCGAGAAGGCATGATTAGTGTTAATGCGTTCTTTTAAGGAACTAGAAGTCAAGCCTTGGATTATTGTCTTATCGCTGGAGGTAGGAGCATTCTTCGTGTTGGTCGCGTTGATGATGTTAATGACTTCTCGAAGAGTAACATCCTTTCCATCTCGAGGTTGGCCGATGGAAGTCTTTTTATCACCGCAACTGGACTGCATATTCAATGATGCCATTTTAACAATTTAAAACCATATGATGAAGACCTTAAAGCCATGTCTATCTGTGCATAGCTTCTAGCTTTAATTGAATACAATGGCCGACACCTACAGCAAAGAATCATTCATCTTTGCCATGTTTACACAATAAATGACTTGAGTAAACAGCACTTTAGATCTTGACGGCGGTAGTTAAGGACGTTCGTTATGTTTGCTGAACGATTTTGAAACTAATTCCTTCTATTCGAGTCCATATTCGCGTTTTTCTAAGTAGTAAAGCTCGTCTAAGCTTGATGGAGATAATGATTGCTCTCATTTAAAGGAAATACTCTACAAACCCGGCAAACAAGATCCCATCAACAACACAGTTTCTAAAGGCAGAGAAGACTTCTTTTGATTGATGTGTTTACACATGGCAAATAATGTTGTGCTAGGGATTAATGTCTAATTGTGACTCATTTACACTTAAGACGTCCGTAGAGACTTGGTTTCATTCCTAACACCGTCTGGTTCAGGTCTTCTAAGTATCCGACTGTCTTTCCCTAGGTTTTTCTTAGAGAGAGGGATTTGTGCACTTGAAAGAAACTTTGGAAATTTTAATCCCATGGTCGTCCAAGACGCTAATTATATTCTTTTCATCCATTAGTTCTTCACTCAACACAAAAACACAACATTTGTACAACAATCGTTTGAAGAACCGAACAGATAGCAAAACTTTTTTCTTGTTGGAAATAAATTTTAATTTTCCACACTTGCAAGGCCCTTCCTGACCATTTCACCCTGCCAAACTTAACGTGAATTTTTTCGTGAAAACGTGAAGCGTTCGTGTCAAACGTAATTGAATTTTTTAGTATTTACTTTGACGAAGTGCCTTATAAGATATCACAGAGATTAATAGCAGTAAAAGACATGGATATGTATATAATATATATTATATAAATGTAACGGTGTATAATATGAATTAAGAAAATGGTTGGCACAAAATATGTGCTTCAAAAGGTGAGGCTTTCTGTGCTGATCAAAGCACACGAGATGGTACACCAGTGTAAACAACAACGGTTGCCTTGACAACATACTTAATTAATACAGTCATTATGGCTTTTCTCTCTCCCACCTCCCTGGTTTTCTTTGTCAAAATACTGGCGCCCTTCTCACGATATCTGATATCGTTATTAATGCACCGCGTCATTGCTGCTTGGCAGTTTGACTTCGATTTCAAAAGTGCATGCCTTTCAAGATTCTTAGCTTTCGTTAAAGAACTTTATTTCGAAAAAAAACAAAAAAAAAAACCCACAGCTCTGAGGTAACAAAGGGTATTGTCAAAACCATGACGATCAGGGAGCACAAAACTCAGTCCTTTGTAAACTCTTTACAACGTTTATGGGAACGAGTATTCAGTTTTGTTGAGCGATTCAACAATGAAACCTGTAACCTTGAAACAAATAACGATGGTCGAGTCAGTCCCAAGTCTTCTTTCAGTATACTGATCGACTTTAGTGAATGGATTCCATTGGTTGCAGTTGCAGCTTAGCCTATGAAACTGTTATCCTGATTGTATAAACGATAAAAAAGCTCAAAAACTAATGCAGGAGAATCTCAGTTCCAAAGCATTTCAGTGGATATTCAGCCGGGGTAAATTGTCGGCTTTTTTGGGGGGAAGAGTTTGCTCAATTCTGTTACCAATTCAGAGGGTGTAACAATGGAAAGGGCAAAATGGATCGGTCACTGATTTATACAATTCTGCCGGGGTCTCGCTAAAATCTGTTTCCGTGCACGTAAAATATCTTGTCGTTCTACACTGAGTTTCAAACAATCTATGTGCATACACACTTGATAATAACAACTCAAATTATGAGAGCTTCATTGTTGGACAGTTGCATCAAGGACAAAGTACAAGGGCCTCTTCATCATCCTTTCATAACAAGGGAATTGTTACTGATTTTATGCTTGCTATTGAGAACCGATCACTCTTTCCCAAGAAACGAAGCACCTAAATAGCCTTGAGCCACCGAATTATTTTTAGCCCACGTAATTATGAATGTTATTTCTGGGTGCGTGCACAAAAGCATCGCTAAGTAAATGGATCTTGCATGAATCAATGAGGACCAATCAGCACGAGTTAATAGTTGTAATAGGTTTGGATTGAACTGAAAGGTTTCCCAATACTGTCAATCGTATAAAGATCATTACCTCATTCAAGCAATAAAATGGACCAAAATTACGTGATGTCTTCCATTTGCTATTTGCTATACCGTTTCAAATCCTTAAGTATCCTGAACAAAGAGCTTTATCGTTTATTGAAATAGGGATCCTAAGGACGTCCCTAGAGAATTCAGAATTCACGTTTCTGGTCACTAGCACAAGAGTGTTTTCTATTGTTAGCAACGGCTTGTAAACATGTCGTTAGTCACAAATGAATTAAAAGTTTGCTGCAGAAGCATCGGCAATGATGTCGGCTCGTTTACCCAACAAAAAAGAACCATAACTGCTTCTAATTGGTTCGTTAATTAACTCCGACTTCAATTTACGACACTTTAACTTTACTTCTTGTGTTATTGGACTGTTGAAGACGAATTTTTTAAAAATCATCTGGCAAAAGTTAAGAAAGCATGGAACAAAGCCTTTTAACCCTTGTTTTAAATTCTGGAGTAGCCAGTGAACGAAGAGAGGCTTGCGAGTTCCTGGATCTAAAAACTCGAGTCGAACAAGAGAAGTTTCGACAACTGAGTGCCGATCTTGAACGAAGAAGAATCCGTAAGTACAATTCACACTTAGAAGAACAAAGAAAAGTTGAAAAAGAACTTGTTGGACTCCAAAAGGACCGACTTCGGTTTGAGAGAGAGAAGCAACTGAGAAAGAGGAAGAATTTTTCCTCGCGAGGCAGAAAGCAGTGTGCAAAATCTTCGTTGAAGGATGAAAAAATTACTCTTCCTATGAACGAAGATGCACTTGGAGGATCAGCATCCATAGCATTTGACCCTAAAGTTGAGAAATATTCACGAAGAAGACGAAGAAGGAAAGCCAAGACTGAGACCTTTATTACCAATTCAAGGAAGGCTGAAAAAGATACCACAGATGATGTTATTAATTTTCCCTATCTGAGCGAAGGAGAAGTAAAAAAATTCCACAAAAGCTGTAAGTCCGCTACAAGAAGTACGGAATGTCGTAGATGGGGTGCCGCATGGTTGTACGCCAAAAAGGAACAAGAAACAGCAATGAACAGAAGTGAAAGATGGACGTCGCTGTTGCTGAATGCAGAGAAGGAAAAGATGCGGGTTTTGTGCGAAAAAATGATAACTTCGAAGGAGAGAAAGCCCGCCTCGAGGATTGCTCTGGAATGTTGGAATAAGCCTGGTCAAGAACCAAATTTGAAAAAAACTTTATTTGCCAGTAAATTGAATTATCTTCGTAACCCAGAGACGTCAAAAAAGCCGAGAGAAGTAGAGTATACGAAAAACGTGACGGAAGACAAAGAAGATGTCGTTTTGAGTGAAAGTTTGGAAGAAAATGATGAAAACAAGAAAGAAAAATGTCTCAAATCAGCCGCAAAAGCACAATCAGGAAGCTTCTCAGCCACCAAACAACAAGGTGAAAATGGCGGTCAAGGGTATCCATACCGTAAAGTTAAGGGGGAAAGGGATCTATCTTTCGTTTCCCCGTTCTCCAAAGGGATTACCCTAACAAAGCAGTTGGCACGTTTCTCCGCCAAGTCTTCCAAAAAGGAAAACACGAATGAAACAAATCATGATACTCTACTTCAAGATGTTACTTCAGAGGATATAAAAAGAAAAAATAATACAGGGACTGTTTGTTTCTTGCCTGAGCTTTGAGCTTTTTTTCTAAATCTTAGAGCCACCAAAATAGTAAGAAAATCTATTGAGAATTTTGAAACAAAAGAGAGCATCGATCTGGTCAGTATTGGTTAGCATGACGAGGTTCTTAACCTGGTCGTATATCAGTGGTATCCCAGTAACGGTGCTGTAACCTAATAGCGGTGCTGTAACTCGTTTTGACTTCATCACAGGTTGACATACCTTGACATCTTGAAATGACATTTCAAAGGTAACCAAATAACCGTGTTTGTAACCTGGAAACAGTACATCAGTAACTCGTTTTGACATCATCACAGGTTGGCATGTGTGACGACAGAGAATTTTAGCCGAGTTAATGATTAGCTCAACCGTTCAATATTTAATTCAATTTAGTCAATAAGTCAAATTCAAGCCCAGTTGGTCATAATAGCAGGATAAAAGTTATAGTAACTTTAGGAAGTCTTTTCTTACTACAAAG